AAATATATTCACCACATTAACTATGTTTTCTATTAAGATGTGCCAGTTTGCAGTTTACGAGGCTACTATGAAATATATTCACCACATTAACTATGTTTTCTATTAAGATGTGCCAGTTTGCAGTTTACGAGGCTACTATGAAATTTCTAAATCCAGAGGGGAAGTATGATCCAAAGTAAGTTTTTTTAAGACAGAAGATAACGATTTTGTATTTGTTTTATTCTTTAATATATATAGATCCTAACGTACATCCATTCACATGAAATAGTTTGTTGGCTTTTTTTGTCCACTTTCCATGATCTGATTTAATTAGATTTAATTTGATTTGTTATGGCAGATTGTTTTGGGATTAATCAACCAGAGGCCGAATTTAAAGAATTTGAGCCGCAGCTTAAATTTGAGACGCGGCTCAAATGTGGTTGGTTTCACTTAAAACTGTATGCAATGTTTCAAGATTTAAGCCGGCGCTTAATTTAAACCGGGTTTTGGCGGATTTGATACGTGGCTCAAATTTATTAAATTCGGCCTCAGTTGATCTATTAATGAAATTTTTTAATAAGTTAGTAGTATTGAATTTATCGAATAATTTACTTTACTTGGTTTTGTTTTTGAAATAGTTTGACTGATAAGGGATTAATTGATTGACTGAGCCTATATTTAAAATGCTAAGCATGACCAAGAGGAGTCATATTTAGTCCCACCGTTTACCCGCCCCTTATCGTAAATTACGATTTTTGCTATTTTATACGTTAAAAGTGGACCCACTCAACTTAGATTCTCAAAACCATGATGAGAACATTCCCGTGGGCCTTGTAATTTATCTACAGAAACTTTTAAAATGGTAAATTCTAGTCAGAACCAAAAATATTGTTAAAGAAAATTATAAATTAAAATCTCTTGAATTCCTTCCGTCTTACTTAATACTTAATACATTCTTCAATGGAGGCAAAATACTCTGAATTTATTAAAAAGAAAATTCCTTTTGACCAGACTGTCAGTAAAGCACTGTGAAATGTTCTCTGTGTATGCTGTTATAGAATCTTAAGAGCACAAAAAATGTATACAGAGGCGTATTATTGAAAAAAAAAACGGGGAAAAAATGTCTGCCAATTTGGTCCAGCCGCTTGGCCAGCCATAGCTGATATATATATATATATATATATATATATTAGTATTGGTTCTTGAATGGGTAAATGATAATTTGAATTAATTTAGTTGACTTTTTCATCCCTTTTTTCTCGATTGAAAAAGAAAATGAAACCATTAAAAAAAAATTTAAAACTTTTTATTTAAATAATGTTCTTTTTTCTTATTTATATAATATTTAGGGCTCACTTGATAGCAGGTTGTACTGCTGGAGCACTTGCCGCTGCGATCACAAATCCTTTAGATGTTTGCAAAACCCTTCTAAATACACAGGTAGTTAAACAGGTCCCTGGAGAGTATGGAGGGGGAGCTGGCGAGGAAGGGGTTAGGAATGAGGGAGGTTGGATAGTATGTTCTTGTCCATCAGCTACAAGGGAGTTGGGGGTTGGAATGATTGATGTATGATATTAAGTCCTTGATTCTACCAATTTAAACCTTCAAATTATCATCTTATTAGTGAAATATGTTTATTTCTATTATTCAGGAACCTCAGTTGCTGAAGGAGTTGAAGACAACTAGGATAGATGGAGGATGGAATGCTGTAACTACTGTTCACAAAGTTGCCGGTTTCCCGGGATTTTTCAAGGTTATTTATTACCTCGGGGACAAAAAATGAATATTAGTACTTCCAAAACACCGTATCTTTTATTATGCTTGATTTTTGATGAATCGGCAGGAAAAATTAAAACACTTTAAAATTGGATTTAAAAGTTTTTTCATCCTTATTGATACTTAACTCGTTTATTTCCCCAAATTGAGCGAAGAAACCCTGAACATTGTGAAGAATTATGTTTTTAAATGGGGGATATTTTTCAAGAAAATAAACACCCATGATGAGCCCTCATAAAAAAATATTTTTTAAATCAAACAAAAATATATAAAACGTGCCAGTTAAAAGTTCTAATTTTCATTTTTTCACAAATCCTACAAAATCATCACCCCTCCCCCCATTTAGTACATAGTTGTGTTTCATGCTTGCTCATTTGTAGATTTTTTTTTTAAAATAATAAATATCAATAAATTTTACAGGGTTTGAGCGCGCGAGTGTTGTTCCAAGCGCCCTCTAGCGCCATCTGTTGGTTCACATACGAGTCTCTCAAGCATATAATCTCCTTGCAGCAGACAATCGAGGAAAAGTACGAAACTCTAGCCGACATTAGATCTAGCGGTGTTGGCGGTACCACCGGTGTAATCGGCGGCAGCGATAAATCAAAACCTGGTGCAGAAAAGGGTTCGGATAGACTGTGGGAGACAATTACCGATCTTCCCCGCCCTATTCACGCTCTTGAAACATGGGCGGAGCAACCTAACTCCGCCCTCAAATATTCCGAGTCTAAGTTTTCCGCCCATATCAGGAGGGATTAGATGAATATGCTCAGGTCGAATACAGGTCAGTTATCAACAGGTTTCAGAAAATCAGATCAATCATTTTTCATTAATTTACATCCGAGTTGGAAATTTTTGAATTAAAACTAGGTTCCAGTACTGGTTTAAGCCAAAAAAAATCTTGGACCTCTGCTCCATATATTATTCATCTGGATAAAATTGTTCCTCATCTAAAGAAGAATTGAAATATGTAAAAAAATTATAGTAAAAGAAAATGATTCAGTGATCCATGCAATGCATGCCTTATACTTGATATATTAAACCAACGATTAAATACCCCCCCTCAATTCTGTGTCATTATTCCATTGTTATAAAAAAAGGGTGGTTGTATTCATCAGCTTTCAGACATAGAAATAAAGCAGATTTTTAACCATTTTATCATTAAACTCATAAAACAGATAAAAGCGTCGATTTTAAAGACTTTATTGCCGTTCAGAAACATTTCTTCTTTGCAGTTTTATTTTGTTCATTTGAATCTAATTTAATCATGAAAATAATTTGCAGCTCTTATTCTTTTTTTTGGTTTTACATTATTTTTAAAATTAGGCGTTAACAGTGATAATTTAATAGAACTACTAAAACATATTTTTCTTCTTTCTTCAGGGTTATCAATAAATAGGAGTATATACTTTCAACTAAATTTTATTAATTTTAAAAGAAAATATATACTCCTGTTGGAAGCAGATTCATTTTTATCAAAGCACAAAACTATTTTAAAAAATGCAAAATTTTATTCATTTCTTTTAAAAAATCTTTTTTTAACCTTCCATATTGTTGTATTAATGAAAAAGAATATTTGTACTACTAAGGATATATGTTAAATTTATTCTTTAAGGAATTGTCAACGTAAAACTATTAATCATTTAACGTCTATTAGATTCACAATCAAGCCTATTATGAGGGTTAAAGGATCCGTTCTAAATTGTTGATCGGACTCTTTAAATGGAGGGTTATTTCAAATTTCGTTGACAATTTCTTTAAGAAACTCAGAATCTGTCTTACCCTTTTCCCCCCATCTTAGAGTTTTGACTTTGATTCCGCTCAATGACTTGCTGCAATGAATATGAGCGGGGGGGGGGGGGGGGGGTCAGGATGGTTTTGCAGTCTATAAATCCCAGAAGGTTGTTATGATTTTACTATTGTTACGCCAGTGAGCTAAAATGTTTAAGTCATGTACAATACATTGTACAGATCTGTACTGTACATATTACCATGAAACAAGTTGATTAGTCCACATGTGATACAAATCCCACATAATAGAATTAACGTTATTTTTTCTAATAAATTCCAAAATCAATTTTATTATTTGATTTGACTGAATTTCAGATGAGTAAAGGTATAAAATGCGCAAGAGAACAGCTGTTTGCTTTGAAAAAATCTGCCAAATTTACAGAACAGGAAAATTCCACTTCTAGTTTTGCTCACGAAAGCCAAGATATTATGAAGACGTAATTTAAAGCGACACTCCATGCATATGCCCGATTTTAGAACTCTACCTTTAGAGCTTTGCCTGATCAAGGATGAATATGTTATCCATGTGTTTAAATTTTTAATTTGATTTGATTATGAATATTGTCGTTTCTCTATAAAAGTTATTTATGATTTCTGTTTTAGCAACAAAACTTTAAACATGTCAAGCTAGAAAATCACGATATTTTTTACATCATTTATCAGATTAAATAAAGTTTAAAAGGTATTTCGGACAAATCCCCTTTTAAATGGAGGGTCGAAATTATAACGAAAGTAAGATTTTCACCTAACCCCCTTTTCTCCACTTCAATGTTTCGTTTCGGAAAAAATAAAAATAAATTTTTTTATTAAAATCCATGTAAGAATTTCTTATCACAATAAAATAATGAAAACTTTGGATTGAAAATACAAATCAACAGTTTATGTCGGATGAAGTTGTAATAGTATTGGTCAAACTGATCATCGCAAGAAAATCATTGAATTGAACATTTTTTTCTCAATAATAACATTAAGTTTTCAGCAACTTAATATTTTGGCGGAATTTTGAGCCCGGGGAAGATGAAAAATGTTCAAGATACGTTTCGTACTCTCGTACATATTTTTTGCTTAACATTTTCCAGAGAAGAATTTCGTAGATTTGTGAGACGGAAAATTTTGAAAAAAAAAACGGGGAAAAAATGTCTGCCAATTTGGTCCAGCCGCTTGGCCAGCCATAGCTGATATATATATATATATATATATATATATTAAAAAACACAAAAATAATAATCTTGAAGTTGGAAATTGTGTCTAGGGAAATATTAGTCCTAGAATTATCTATGTTAAAGAATCCTTGACAAAACACCGTCTACCACCACCAGGGAGATATAGATATAAAGTAACAATCTTTGTTTGTTTGGAGGTCCGAGTATAACTTATGAACCCATTGACCGATTTGCCTCAAATTTCGAAAGGGGAATTCAGAGGACCACGGGAGTTTAGCTTTGGTTTTGAGATTCTTAGTTTAGTGGGTCGACTTTAATAGGGAGAAATAGCTAAAATCGTAATTTATGACCAAGCGCGGGTAAACGGGGGAAGTTACTATGAGTACCCTGTGCAACGATGGGTTCCCAAGCTATCATTTTTATTTAACAATAGAAATTAGAGAGTCATCATTTTATGTATTATTGTATAGTTGACTTATATTTGTACAAGAGTGAATATTTTCTTCTCTTGACTAATCATTCCCCCCCCCTTTTAAAAGCTGGGTAGACTTTTTAAGGTTTTATTCGCTGGATTGCAGGGAAGCTAAATGATTAGTAGTGGAAAATAAATAAGATTTTGGGTTAAAAGTATCAAGAAGGATGTTTTAATTTTTCTTTTCATGTAGATTTTTAGTTTTCGCCAGAGCATCTCCCCCCTCTTAATTACTCATCATTCAAACTTGAAGCTTTTGACTGGAAACTCTAAAATGATAGGTATTCTGAAGTGGGGCATGGCTTAAACTTGGTCGTGTGGCTGGGTACTTCGCAACGTCAAAGTAAAAATGAGGAACATTTTTCTTTTGAACGAAAGACCGGGCTGAAAAACCGGGACATGGTGCGGACTTGAAACTCCGATCCACTACAGGAGTAAGGCCATCCCGGCAAATTATTATTTGATATATGACTGTATTCGTAACATTTGACTATCTCATCTTAATCAAATCAAATCAAATCATGAGTGTTAGGGAAAGCTTTAGGCTCCACTCTACAGCTTGGAGTTTCAAGTCCTGACTGAGAGGTGGGTTTTCAGCCCGGATTTGTTTAATGTTTAACCGTTAATGAATCAATTGTTTAAAACTAACACCTAGGGTAATTGGCGTTAAACTTTTAAACAATTATCAGTCTAAAAGTATCTTTTTTTCACACATTCTTCGCTATTGATTTCCTATATATCCGATTTTTTATTTCTGACCGTAGAGGACTCAATATATCAACTAACACTTAATATGGAAGGAAAAAAAACCTTCCGAAAAAAATAGAAACTGAGAATGATGATAAAAGATTCTAAAATAACGATCTCATCGTCATTTAAAAATCTGAGTTTGGTGTATCTAAATTACTGCTTTCTTGAACAAACAGCGAAGAAAATTTTAAGTTGCGGCGATGCTAGAAATGAAATTTTTTCCTCAATTTATGTAAAGGGGCCATTTCTTAAGATGTTTTGAAATCGTCCATTTCTAAAATAGACTTGATAACTCAAAATTTGGTTGACAAGCTTATAAAAAAAATTGTTATCTTTAAAAAGTTAAAATATTATCTTCTTTCTATAAATATATAAAGTTCAAGTTGTAATCTCTGTTTGTCTGTTTGTTTGTCCGATCATAACTGAGGAACCCCTTGACCTATTTGCTTTATATTTTGATGGGGGAACTCACAAGAGCCTCGATTTTTAAGGCTAAAATTTAGTTTCCCGGTAAAATTAACCAAGTGCTGGTAAACGGCGGTAGTAACTATGAGTAACTGGGCAGCGTCGGGTTCTCACGCTAGTGTATCTATGTCTCTAATAGGACTAGGAGTTGGACGCTCTCAGATGATTAAAGCGATTTATAGACAGGCAAACCAAGATTGGAAACTGCTGAACCAAACCCAGAGATATTTGTATCAAGAGAAATACAAGGTTTAATTAATAATATTTTAGTGAAGAATGTAAATAAATTACAAAAACCAACTTATTCATTCTTTAATTTTTTTTTATAATTTGTGAACAAATTGGTGATTCATGATGTGCACTCAATAAGTAATCAATTTGAGGCATTTACTTTGCCATCATCTAATTAAATTTATTAAAGGAATTAAGTTTTTGTCACAAACTCTGATTTTCTTATACATTTATCTTTGCAATTTAATGTCAGAGACCATAGATATATCAAAATATGAATTCTTGTAGATCAAATAATGATAGTTTGAAATATCAAAGGCTTACACCATCAGGGTGAAAAGATAAAGGGATTAGAAATTCAGAATTTGTGGCAAAAACTCAGTTCCTTTTTTCGATATTTAAAAATAGTTATTTTTAAGATTTTTTTTAAAAAATTGATTTTATTACGATTATGAATTTAAAATTACCATTAAATTTGATATTTAGGAAAAACTTAAGGAACACAACCGAAAAGTACAGGATTGGAAAATTAAAAATAGGTAAAAATTAAATATTTCTTTTTAATATAATTTTCAATATAAACATTCTAAAGTGAGTGTCTGGCTAGAATGCAATCTCAGCTTAATTTTAAAAGCTACAAGAGAATATAATCTAGGGGAACCCAGATGTACGAGCGGATACAAGAACTTGAAAAACAACTGATAAAAGATAAAAACCCTGCTTCCAAACATTTAGAATAAAATTTACTCTCTGTTGTTACAACATTCTGAAGAAATATCAATCGAAATTATAAATTTTTAAAATTTAAGATAAAAATGTCAGATGTTCGTTCTTCAGAAAAGGGGGAAAAAGAAGAAGAGAAGGATATGGGTAAATTTTTTTCATTCATTTTAACGTGTTTACAAAATGGTAAATGTTATGTTATCCAGCGAGGGGGGGGGGGATCGTTTTTCAATGAATACATATACCCCATTTCAGAAGCTTTATATTGCTATATATATTAGGAAAGGAAGCTGGAAAAAAAGAAAAGAGGAAAGAAACTTTCTTCTATCTCCATTCAAAAGAAAAAATGGCGCAATTAAGGAAACTTGGATTTTGAAACAGAAACGATCTAAAAAATTAATTATTGACAAAATTAAGTAATGCTTTCTTTTTCAAACAATATTTAAATAATGTTGAAAACTGACGACTTATTTTTATAAACTTTGGAGCATTTGAACATTTTTACGATTTTTTTAATTGTTTGCCGGTATTATTTAAAATTTGGATTTAAACCCTAACAGTAGACAAATTATTATTCATCATTACCATTATAAATTTTTTTACAATTTTTTATAATTATTTTATTTTTGTAATTTTTATAAAATAAAACTGCCATTGTCAAGGTCACGGCTATATAGTTATATTTATAGTCATGGTTACTATCAGCATCAATATCACTATCATCATTATTACTATCATTATCATCATGATTACTTTCACTATCACTATCACCATTATTACTATCATTATTACAATAACTATGATTTTCACAATCATGATTAAAAATTATGAAGTATCACTATGAGTATTGTGTATGTCTCTCACTAACTTTCATTAAGTTTTTACTTAGAAAAGCAATATTTCTCATAATTATGGATAGTAGCTTAGACGGACATCTCTTAAACCATGGTTGATTGATTGATAAATCTGGTCTGTAAAGAGGGTCAAGATTGTGGAGGAGTGGGAAGGGTGAAGAACTAGATCCTGAGATTAAGGATGAATCTCCAGTAGCAGTAGACCCAGAACAAACTGGAGAACATCAAACCTTGTCTCTGAAAGATCTTCAAGTTTCTGACGCGAAACAGGTTTTTTCCTCTTCATGACGTCCGTTTTTTTTACATCCTTAATTCTTGTCACCCTTATTACCTTCCTACATTTCCTGTCCATATGACTTCGTGTAAAAAATTAAAGAATTCTGGTTAAATGTATAAAAATGTATAAGAAAAGATGTAAAAAACTAATTAATAGGACCATGTTTGAATTTTTTCCCTCCAATAGAAATTTCCCTTTTCCCATCTAGTCTGGGAGAAGGGTTGATTCTTAAAATTATATAGATTCACCACCCTAATTCCCATGTTTATTGGTATTCTCTGCATGTTGAATGAGTATAGTTTTTTTTTATTTGGTTTTTAAACTTTTAAGTTTGTCACTTGAAAACAAAAAATTGTACTTGTGATAAGTTTGCTTGCATAAAATCTTAGATATTTTTAGTTTTCACATATGACATGTGGTCAAAATGGGTTTAATTCAATAGTTTTGATTCAAAAGTTTTGGTCTAAGTAACAATTTTGAAATGCGAAATTACCTATAGATTGTTAAGATAGAGTAAATTTGTTGTCTATCTTCCTTTGTGTAGAGATGGACATCGTTTTGTGAAAGAACTAAATTTTTTGTGAACTATGGTGTCATTCCAAAAGAACGAACTATGGACGAACGAATTGGATCGTTTAGAGAAATGGAAAAACGATCATTTTTTTAAGAACGAGTGAAACAAAAAACGAACGATTTAAAAATCGTTCAATGAGAAAACGAACGATTGAAAAATAACGAACGAAATGGGTCGTTAGCGAATGATGAACGAACGAATTAAAAAAAGCTGAACGCGCCCATTTCTAACAGTGTATACTGTTTAGTGTTCCTACTGTAGAGTAGAGTTCCTAAATATCCAGGAACAACGAGGTCACTATAAACTAGACTGGCACAGGTAGAAACACATTTTACAATTTTCATTTAGGGGTGTATATTTTCTTTAAAAAATTATTCACCCCCTCTTAAAAAATCATTTTTCCCGAAATGGGAAAATAAATGTTTTGTAGGGGAAACTACCGATTTTTTTGGGGGACAGTATCTAAAAGGACGAAAAAACTTCTTTTTATTGTCCAATTTTTCTCCACCCCCCCCCCTTTCATTTTAAGTCCCCCGGGTTTTAATTTTAAAAATTATATACTCGGCACAGGTAATTACTCCAGGTATATCCTGTAACTAATATTACTTCAGGTATATCCTGAAGCTGATTTATTACTCCAGGTATAACCTGAAGCTGAGCCTGGAGTCCCGGGCTGCAGTATCCGAGGAAGAGTTCTCCAGTATCCTTGAGAAGGCGGAGACAGAGGACGGAAATATTTCAATCTCAGGATCAGATTCAGAGGTTAGGAAGTATACGATGAACCCCCCTCGTCCCATTCAAAGGGAAAATTGTTGTAAAAAATTACAATCGCCTGCCAAGAATCGATTGTTTAAGCTTACATTATATTGATTTAGTTGATACTAAACTTTTTCCAAAATATAATTTTTACTTTAAATATAATTGAAAGCTAAAAAACTAAAAATCCGCCTTTAACCCCAAAATTTTTAACCGCTATATCTTTGAAACCTGATGGGGTAAACCTTAAATAGTTTGACTGTTGCATTTAGCAGAATTCCAATTTAAAGTTATCAGATTGCAAAGATTTTAGATATGAAATTCTAGGATGAAGAGTGATCAGTTTCATATTTAAACCAACAATTTAAAGGGACTGTAAGCTTTACTTCATTTTCAAGTAACCTTTATGCAAAGATGGCAACGGCCGATTAACGACGGTACCCTAATAGCTTTGTCTGATTAAGTATGAATCACATATCCATGTTTTGCTTCTTTAAAATGTATATTTTATTTTGCGGTTTCTCTGCGAAAGTGAGTTGCGCATTTCTTACTTAGAAGAAGTGGAGAAAATTACAGAAATAAATACTTTTTCAGTCAGGAAAACAATTGTAGCTTCCACATTTTTGATGAGATTGAGGTTTCTAGGGTACCGTTGTTAATCGGACATTTCTATCTTTGCATGGAGGGTCACTTAAAATTACGCTTACAGTCTCTTTAAGAAACTTGTCAATGCACAGGATGAGGATGACGAGGATGAATATACCCTGGCCTCGAGGGATCCTCGCTTTTACCTCAAAACATCTTCTGGGAATATTGTATCCATATTCAAGACCTTGATAGGTAGGTTTTGAACCCTTAAGACAGCACAGCCAGAGACAAAAACATTGTTTTATCCAAGAAAGATAAACCAGGAACCCTCATTACTTTGTTTACAATAATGTAGTTCTATTTAAGAAAGATAAACCAGGAACCCTCATTACTTTGTTTACAATAATGTAGTTCTATTTAAGAAAGATAAACCAAAATAATGTAGTTTTATTGAAAGAATTAATCAGGAATCGACATATCATTGTTTGCACAAATATAGTTTTATTTAAGAAACATGAATCAGGAACCCCAAAATCTTTGTTTACAAAAAAAAATAGTTTTATATAAGAAAGATAAACCAGGAATCCCCATATCTTTGATAGTAGGTTTTATTCAAGAAAGATTAACCTGGAACCCCTTATTTTTGTTTTCGAAAATATAGTTTTTTTCAATAATAATAATAATGAACATAATATTTAACTTAAAAATTAAATTTGAGTTGTTTTAGTTGTTCCAAAATCTCGAGATCTACCTTCAGAGTCAGCTCTACAAACAGCTTTAGGAATATATTTTAAAATATCTATGAAGGAGAAATAAGAAATCTAGTGCTTGGGATTAATTTTGGTTAAAGTGAGTGACCGGCAATGTATGGTAGTTAAGCTGAGAATGCAGTTTTGTAAACACGTTTTTACTGTGCATATTTGTTCAGCAAGAGTGCAAATTTAATTTTTTAAATCCTCCTTCATTGTCCTTTCTGGAGAGATGATTTTGAGAATCGTTTTTTTTTAATTACTGAATAACATCGACGAAAATTGTGACAACAATTCTAAAGTAAACTAATTGGATGTTCAGGAACATATTTCTTAAAGAAATTTGTCAATAGATCAATGTTAGAATCAATTATTCTTTTCATCACTATATTGAATTTCTTATTCTTTTCAAATTTGTTTGCAGATTTCTTCAAATTTTCAAATGTCGTCTTTTCAATAATAATTGCAAGAAATCTACAGAAAATGTTTGAGACATTACAGAAACTAATAACTGAGTAGGATTAAATATTTTCGATGAATTTTTATTTTCTCATTCTGTTCCTAAACAATTTATTAGTTTACAGTTGAATTTTTGTTAAATTTTTCGTGGTCGTCTTTGAATAATTTAAAAAAAAAACCTATTCTTAAAATCATCCCTCAAAAATGGATTTTAAAAATTGAATTTGTACTCTTGCTGAAAAAGTATGCACCGTAAAAACGTCTGATAGGTCTCAAAGGAATCCTAAGAAATTACTTTACATTATTACATTCTCAGTTCAACTACTACACATCGCAGGTCACATCCTTACGAATTCGGATCCGGATCATCTCCTGTAAAATAAATCTTCTGCCAAAAACATATTTCCAAAAATGTCTGGACTTTTATGCATGAACTTGATTTGTCATTAAACAAACACTTAGAAAAGCTTTAATGAAATCTTATTGGTTGACAGTAAGTTTAGCTAAACGTTGCATGTTTGATATCTCGATTAGAAATTTTGCCACTTGTATCCTGATCCTAGGCACTGTAGAGTGTATAGAGTATAGTGTACAGATAAGTTATTTTCACTAAACTGGTTTCTTATATTCTCAATCACGATGGGAAAATAAACATTAAAAAGAAATTTTTGAAAATTTGAAATGTTTCTAGATCGATTGGTTGGTGTGAATACCTGGGCAATATTTATGCTTGGGGGTGGACACTTTGCTGGGGCAGTTTTCAGGGACAATCAGGTCAAAATTAAACTTCTATCAAAAGACGCCTCCCCCCTTCCCCCTCCCCCCTTATGAAAGGCTTAGCGGCCGAGTGTAGCCGCCGCTAAGCCTATCTATTTAAAATCTAGATTATGCTAAAAAGTGTGATTTTGGAACCCTTTTACAACGAGATTCTATTGCAAAATTGTACGCAGAAATCTGTGAATATTTAGTTTATTCAAGTCACACAGGAAACGGAACTTGTACACTGTACAGTTGGAGTCCAGGGGCGTATTCAGGGGGGGGGGGTGGCTATGGGGGCTAAGCCCCCTTGGACCTGTGAAATTTATTGATTTCAGGGGGTTTTCAGGCCCCAACGGGTGCTGAGCCCCCTCTGGAAAGATAAAAATTTAAGCCCCGCTCTGGACAAATTCCTGAATACGCCGCTGTTGGAGCCTGTCACACCTCCAAATGTACACAATACAACTGTACTCTCAGCAATTCATCAGCTCCAAGTAACCATGGAACAAAGAAGATGAGTCCGGGATATAGTCCCAGGAGAGGATCGAAGTCCACCGGATATGGTCCTATAAGAAGGAGTGAAGTCCACCGGATATGCTCCTATAAGAAGGAGTGAAGTCCACCGGATATGGTCCTATAAGAAGGAGTGAAGTCCACCGGATATGGTCCTATAAGAAGGAGTGAAGTCCACCGGATATAGTCCTATAGATGGAGTGAAGTCCACCGGATATGGTCCTATAGATGGAGTGAAGTCCACCGGATATGGTCCCAGGAGAGGATCGAAGTCCACCGGATATTGTCCTATAAGAAGGAGTGAAGTCCACCTGATGTATTGGAGAAAGGCTTGACTTTAGAACATTGAGATAAAGCAGTTTAAGTGTGTAATTTTGTTTTCTTAATCCTAACTTTCAACCTATTTATTATTTGTTTTCAACTAAATTATCGGTTTTGTAATTTATTTAGATTAAACTAGATCTGAGAGAATAAATATTCCAAGAAGTTTGCGTCTAATTCTCTGTCCAAATTCTCACTTAAAGAGGGTTCTTAAAATCGTCCTGTTCTTAAGTCTAAAACTAGATTTAACAATCTAAAAATATTTGAACACTTTTTATATAAAAATGAATGTATTATTTTTCCTTAATTTTTATCGTTAGTTTTGGTTTCACATTTACATTTATCACAAAAAAACGAATCATAAACACTTTCTTAAAATAATCATTTAAAATTTTCGGGTCAAAGGCTCCAATAAACGGCAACAATATCTTGTGGCGAACTAAATATACATAACAAAAAAACTTAATACTTTTTTATTTTGCATTCAAAGACTTTTTTCGCGAAACTTAAACTTATTTTCTTAGACATTCTTATAATTTTACTTAACGACCCTCACTCCACAGAGCTATACTTATTTCCAGGCCCCCTAGATTTTGTCTTGGATAAATTTCATTTTTGTGAATATTAAGTGAAATAGTAAACTTGTTTTTGTAGGTGTTAGTTCACAAGACCTTCCATTGTTATACAGTTCGAGCAAAACAGGGAGGAAGTCAGGGATCAGCTGATAATAAAGCAGGAAAATGCTAAATCAGTCTTCAAAAAATTTTCTGAAAAACTTAATTTCGTTTGAGTTTTAGTTATTCTGCTTTATATTTTGAAATTATACTAATTTTACGCAAATTGAGGTGACCCTCTAAGCAAATATGGGAATGCCTGATTTACAATGGAACCCATTACCTTTTAATTGATCATTGACGTTGTAGAACTCATGTTCAAATGCTGAAAAACTGGAGTGTTATCCGTTAAAGGCCGAAAAACTGTAGTGTAAGGTGTACCCCAGCGTACAGTGTAAAGTCAACGTTACTGACGTAGCATATTTATCTTGAAAATCGAGAATATTTTAAGTCCAACGGTGGTTTCGACGTATGTTTTTTTAAATATGAAACTTTTAAACATACAAGGTTTAGCATGAATGCTTACAGGGAGTACGCATAAAAGTGCTGGAGCCAGTCTCAGGAAAAGTATATGTTTTTGAGTAAATATTTGTCGCGAAAACACAAAAAAATAATAATTATATTCAAAAGAGAGAAATCGCCGTTTATATCAAGATTTGCTAAACTTAAAGTGTGTCTTTAACGAATTAGAACGGTTTTCTGCAAAAGTTTTAATATGGATAGTTGAAATTTTATAAAAAAGTCATTTATATTTTCAGTTATGTTTTTAAAAAAGCAATTAACAAATATTATATATGCAGACGGTACAATGAAATGGCGCTTATTCAGCATGTCCAGGTATGAAAAAATAAGAGAAAAATTCACAGAATTAATTTTTGTAGAAGCAGTTATTGTCAACATTCACAATATATTTAAACGGTTTTCCTTAACGTCGACTAAATCTGTATAAATTCTCTTTGTATGCAACATTTGTTATTTTATATCAAATTCAATATATATATATATATATTTCAGTTTTTAACTTCACATTTTTATTAAAAAAAGAATTATACTTAACATAATGTTACACGTCTATCATGACGATCCTCCTATATATATATTTGTCTCCAACATATAATAAAGATAATTTTTCTCCTAAATTGATTTTTATTATCAATTTTTCATGACCTTTCTAGCAAATGCTTCTGTTTGGGATTCAAACTATTAACAATAATAATAATAAATAATAATAATAATAATAATGTTAGTTTACAATTTAAACCATATATTTCCAGGATATCACTAAACTGTGGTCCGCTGAGCTTGCCAGCTGTTCATTAATATTCTGTCGTGCCGCCAGCTCAAATAGAAATGTTTTGTTTGGCGGCAAACAACCAGCACTTGCAAGGTACATGAGTGTACTGCAACTGAGCTGAACTTTATTATGATGGAAAATGAACTATGACATTTTTAAAAATCGAATCCGTAATCTCTCATTTTATGCGCTAAGAATTTCAAATTAAATTTTAAAGTTTTTAATGGATAAAACCTAGATCGAGGAGAGCTAGCTTCCCAAATATATCCACGTAGGGCGGAACTTCTGTGGAGACTGTTAATCTTCAACGCTTGATCTCGATATCCAATGTGGACACTTTTAAATTCCTCAATTTTAAGTTATCCCTGCAGGGTATAACCATCACGAGGGATCGACTAGGAATTAAATTGATCCGTAGATCTGCATAAGATGGAGATTAATACTTGATCCCCTGATTCACAATACAAAAAATGTTCATAAAGTAGTATTATATAACTCTGATCGGTAAAGATACCTCTAATATCCATTAAGTGGTATGTTCTATTTGTCGCATAGTATACTATCTGAAATACGCTCACTATAAACAAAACCCCTGACTATCTGAAACAGCTATCATATTTAATACTTGGGTAACATTTCCTATTATATACTTATGAATGACAAGCACAATATAAGTCATTCACACAGCCTTTATTAGGTTAATTTAAAAAAAAGCATTATTTCGCGGGAACTATTATGTACTGACTGGATTGATCTCATTTATTATTATTATTATTCAATGACGAAAAAACTGCATTTATTAGATAGTTATTAGTGTGCTGAATCATTTCGATTAATACTTAAAACTGAAAATATTTTAAGGAATGACCCCAGACTACGAAGCATACCGTTCCCCACCAAAAGAGCAACATTTAGGAATCGTTAAAAACTTTTGTCTGAAATCGTTTTCGCCTTAATTTATTTTGACAAAAAGCATGTTTTTATTCAATTCTGAAAGAATTAAATCAGAACAACATTATTAATTTATTAAAGAATTGAACATTAATTTTTATTCTTTCAAGGTTTGGATTTGATGAATAGCGAGACATAGTTAAACCACGTAGACTAAATTAAAACTCTTCTCTTTGGGTTGACCCAGCCCATAAAAGAAGTGCTTCAGGTTATGACTCGCTATTCATTAAATCTGGTTTATTAAACATATACATATTCCATATTTTTGATTTTCGCCTTGAATCATCAATGCATTCTTTTCTTTTATTAAACATTATCAAAGAGGCTGTTGGCCTATTCAAGGTACTCTAAACATGTCCAATACACAATAAATGGTTCACTTTAAACCTTGTCTTGTTTTCTTTTGCCGAAAATTGATCAGATTTTAGTGCTGCGCCTCCCTACTCACAAGATCCTTTATCTAAAAATTAATGTAGCATAGGAAAAGAAGGAAATTTAGATAAGTTGCTTTTTTTCAGATGAAATACAATGATAAAGGGTTAAAGGGTACCGTAGTAAATCCGGCATCAAATTTAATGTCACTTTGACAGTTCCTCTAAATGCGAAGATTTTTTTAATTACATGAAAAAGTTTAAAATGTGTTAAGTGAGGTTAAACGAGTTCAAGATCTACTCTCTAGGGTTGAAATACACCAGGTCACTCTTTCTGCAATACGGAGGGAGGGAGGGGTTGCCTGACTGCCTTGAGCCCCGTGAAATAACCCCCGAGCCGTAAATATTTTAGAATTACCACCTTGCCCAATAGTTAAATATTAGAAAAGTATTTCCAGATTTATTTGATTAGAGCATTTCTTCCAAATATGCCATCTTGTATTTCATGTACAGCTTAAACCCTACAAAGTAACCCCGTTTTAAGGATACAGTGTCATGTACAATGTACATGGTAAATTCAAATTTTGCCGATCTTGAAAAAAAAATGATTTAGAAAAAACAGCCAGTAAAACGTTGTTAACAAATCTTAAGTTCATTGTACTTAGTTTTTTTTGTCAAAAATTACACACACAAAAAAATTTGTAAACCCTTATCTTTGCAAACTGATGGTGTTAACCTTCTATATTTCAACCTTAGACTATTTGCTCGAACAGAATTTATAACTTGAAATATTAGCGGTCTACGACCAGAGATTGCAATAAAATAGGGATTAAAAAATCAGTTTGTTACTCCATTCCATACTAGATTCCATATAGAGTTCTAAAAATTCAAATCTACAAATCCGGGATAGGAAAACAAGAAAATCCGTGAATAAAGAAAATTCTTCAGTAGACAATGTAGCATATTTCCTAACATTTAATTATTTAAAATATTGCTGAACAAACAGCAAACTTCTTAAATAACTTTGATGGTTTTAATGTAAATTCTTCATTTATTTATTTTTAAAAGTTAGTTTTCTTTCAGGAAGCAGATCTTTTCCACGCAAGTCGACCGACTAACAAGGTACGCTTTTTTTAGACAATATGAATAAACTAAACAGTTAGTTCGTTATATTATTTAAACAATATGAATAAACTAAACGGTTAGTTTGTTATATTATTTAGACAATATGAATAAACTAAACGGTTAGTTTGTTATATTATTTAGACAAAATGAATAAACTAAACGGTTAGTTTTCATAATAAATCTGTTCGAGGTAGTCATAAAAGAAATATTTTTTTCCAAATACCCTACTAATAATGTTTGGATATTTTTGTTTTTGTTAAATTTTAGCAGACAACCCAAATTAAAAATGGACACATCAAAGGAAACTTATGTAAGTGTTTTCAGGGTAAACTGAATATCCTTTTAGCTATTTCAATGACAACATTTGTTAGATATTATATACTAAAATATAAAAACATTTGATATTAGAGATAGCTTTTAAAGTTTTTGCGCAGGAATTCTGAACGATAAAACGACTTTTTTTACAGTTATCTTTGAAAAGGAGGACTAATACTAATGAAGAGCTAATAAGGCATTTAGTTTAACCCTAAAAATATCCAAATAAGTGAACGGTTCCTTTAGTAAATTTAAAATAATTTCTTATTTATAGGTAAAAGAAGGACGTATTCGGAGATCTAAATCTAGGGATTTACCTGCTAGGATAATACCAGGTAGGGCTTATACCAGGTTAAATCAACAATATAATCAACTAGTAGTGTTTCAACTTTTTATTGTCCATGCATTTCAGGTATACACACTGAATCTTTAAAAATTGAGGCTAGATCTGAACCACTAGATCCCACGAGGGTATGTGGCGGAGCTCAACCCTGTTTTCATTGTATTGTAAATGTAACCTGTAGGTCTGGTACATTGTCTTTTGGTTGATTGTTATTAAAAAAATAATAATAGAGAAAACACTTAAATTACAGCAAAGATCTGATCTACATTAACTGGTTCAAAAAATAAACCAGAGATCGGAGGCCGAATTCAAAGAATTTGAACCACGTCGTTGAACCGCCAATAAACGGTTACAATTGAGCGCCGGCTCAAATCACGAAACACTAATTAAAATTTCTTGCTGAACCAACTATGTTTGAACCGCGTCTAGACGCGGTTCAAATTCTTTTAATTCGGCCTCAGAGTTTTTGTGTAACGCTACTCACTAAGCCACGGAGCTCTTTCTATTACTAACTCCCATCTCAGGTATTGGTAATGATGCTGTTGAATCTGACCCTGAAGATGAGAATGAGTCGGAGCTGAATCTTGAGGTTGAGATACAGGATACTAGACACCTGGCAGAGTTCGATCAGAGTAATGCAAAGTAAGAACAAACATTTTTTTAATTAATAACAACAATTTGTTTTCCCTTATATTTGGGCGTTAAATCAAATTTAGATGAGTTACGAGGTCATGTGACCTCGTACAATTTCAGAAGGTTATCTAATTTTTAGGACCAAACGCAGCCTGCACAAATTTGGTGTCACGAAGTGTAGAATTGTAACCCCACTTTAACATTTCCAGTTATTAATGAATAATTTTCTATAATTATTATTGATACTGACTGTTTGAATTAGGAAGAAGAAGAAGAAAAAGACGAGTGTTGGATTAACGGAAAAAGAAGACTCTGAGAACGGAGCTAGGTATCATTATTGTAAATAATTTAAACAAACCCTTTTTAGAACAAAAATTCATATTTATTTTCCCAAAAATCATTGTTTTGCACTAACATTCTTTAAGTACTTAATATATACTCCAGAACCAGTGTACACTGTACAGTTGTACAGTTGTACAGTGTACAGTTGTTTAAAGAATGCTTTGGAATCCGGGAAATTATTATTCTAAATAGTGGGCATCATTGAATACAAAATTGAAATTTAAGCTGACGAAAAGTTTTTGATAAGTTTAGGTTAAAATACAATAATAATAATAATAAAAGAAATAATTAGGACAATTAGGACATGGAGATCATTTTAGATTTAGCCATGATACATACATAACATAAAACATGGAAAATAGCACTGAAATATAAAATGACTTGAGTGTGAATTCTCAGTAAATAAAGTATTTTAAAAATCAATGTTATTGTTTACAATACAACTAGTTCCTCAACCCTTTTTCCTTAGTTATACTTTATGAATATCCGTATGTTTATAAACTTTTGAAGAGGGCTTCGAATGAAGTTTGATTGTTTATTATTATTTTTATTATGAATCATAAGAATTTCCAATTATTCTAGTGGTCGAAGTATAGCTCTTCAAAACCGGTTCCTTACTGCGGTTAGATCAGGAAACATGAGAGACTTAAACGAGTGTGTGGAACAACTCCTAAGCGAGGTTCCTGAAGAGCCAGGGGCTTCAATGGCTCCAGGAGACTTAAATGATAAAACTGAATCTGTGATAAACAAGGAAGGGATAAATTAAATAGCACTTATTTTATTTTTGATTTAAAAAAAAAACTTATTTTATCCTTTTCATTTTTATTCTTAAAAACAGGAGAAAGATATGACTGTGATAGAAGACATTGTAAATAGGCAGTTTGGTGAGGGTAAGCTGACCTTCCTACATCTAGCTGCTCAAGCAGGACACAGGTAGATATATATATATATATATATACTTATTTTCTTTTATATATGTATATACACTTTACACTAAACATCTTAGTGAAGGTAAACAAAACAGGAAACATGTTTTTATATATTCAGTTTATTCAAGCTAAGCTGACCTTCCTACAGCAAGGACACAGATATATATGTTAATCATTTAATGCATGTGGTTTATGATGTGTCTGCTGTCTACTGTCTACTGTATATAATCTGTATATAATGTATATATATATTTATATATTATATATATTATATACAGTTTAGTCAGGGTAAACTAACCTTAAATCTAGCTGCTCATGGGATCTCTCTTTCCAAGAATTATCATATTGTGAAAATAGAGAAATGATAATAGACAGAGACACATCATAAACCTCATGCATTAAATGATTAACTTTTAAGACATCTTCTCCCGAAAAAACATGCCCGCCCCCTCGCACACATAAGCGTATTAAGATAATGGTTTGAAGATTATGTAAGTTTATCTTTATATGTCTAGTTATCAGCATTAATTTTAAACATAGATTTATGATACTTTATTGATACATTAGAAATACTAAGGATGTTTAGAATGTCTAATATTTAGATCAATTGTTGGACGATTGCTAGAGTTGGGCTCAGATCCATGTGTCAGGAATGCTAGATACTAATATAAAATTATGATTTATTTTTTTAATTTGATATAAAACAAGCATATTATGAAAACGTGAAATTTTTATCAATTTTATTTCTAATTTCTAATTTCTAATGTGCAGATTTTTTTTCCTTCAAAAATATGCTTTTTCATTTTTAAAAATATCAATGTCTTGTCAATCAATTTCCCCCGAAATAACTTTCATGGAATGCATCCCCTGGAATTATTTTCTCAATATATGTCCATTTCATTGTTATGTTTTACCTTTCCCAGGAATAATTCCCTGTGATTTTTATTAAAGTATCTGTCCAGGGATAAGTTGAAACGTGTTCCCTACACCCTTGCTCAAGATAAAGAGACAAGGAATATATTTAGGAAGTTTCAGGGTAATTTTCCAAACAGGTAATTTCCCCAACAGTTATTTTTCCAAACAGGTTCTTTTCCTAACCGTTATTTTTCCCAACAGGTACTTTTCCTAACCGTTATTTTTCCCAACAGGTACTTTTCCTAACCGTTATTTTTCCCAACAGGTACTTTTCCTAACCGTTATTTTTCCCAAAAGGTACTTTTCCTAACCGTTATTTTTCCAAACAGGTAATTTTCCAAACAGGTAATTTCCCCAACAGGTACTTTTCCTAATAGTTATTTTTCCAAACAGGTAATTTACCCAACAGTTATTTTTCCGAACAGGTACTTTTCCTAACCGTTATTTTTCCCAACAGGTACTTTTCCTAATAATTATTTTTCCCAACAGGTAATTTTCCTAACAGTAACATTTAATAACAGTTATTTTTCCCATCAGGTACTTTTTCTAACAGTTATTTTTCCCAACAGGTACTTTTCCTAACAGTTATTTTTCCCATCAGGTACTTTACCTAATAATTTTTTTTCCCAACAGGTAATTTACCTAACAGTTATTTTTCCATTAAGTACGTTTTCTATCAGTTATTTTTCCCAACGGTACTTTTCCTAACAGTTATTTTTCCTAACAGGTACTTTTCCTAACATGTATTTGAAATTTTCCCTAACAGGTACTTCAAAATTTTCCCTGAAATGTACTTCAAATTATACGTAACAGCTACTCCTCCTAGTAAGTACTTTTCATGACGGCGTTTTCAGTAATAGGTACTTTACTAAAATTTTCCTTCTATATATAAAATTAGTTTGTCTGGGTGTCTGTTTGTTTGTTGGTTTGTATCCAATAAACGTCAAAACGGTTGAGCCGATCGGACCTAAATTTTGTATGGGACCTCACGTGACCCCAGGGAAGGTTTATGAATGATCAAAGTTTTAAAAAGTGTTCAAAACTTTTTTTATTTTTGTAAAATTTGAAAAATGTGAGAAAAATTATTATTAAATCCACAAACTTTTTTTGTTTTTGTTTTATACTGCACAAAGAGAAGATGCTCAGAGATAAAGCCACAATTAAAAATTGAAATAGAAGATGGGCGCGAAGTGCCCTAAAAGCCTAGTATTTAAAGGCAATATGATTTGTGCGGAAAACTTTAGAAATCGAGGATATCGATATCAATGCTTGATCTCTTCTTTTTGTTAATCTTAAGATTATTTTACTCGTTGTATCCAGGTAAGCGTCTAAAATTCAAATAATCATAATGACGTATGCAGAATTCCCAAACAGCCAATCAGAAGCCGGGAAATTAAAAACAGAATGAATATATTCAGATTAAGTGATCGATATAAAGGGAATCTAATTCTAAAGTTTTCAGATCTGATTTTACATTATGGCTGGGAAGTCATTGAAAAGGAATTAGTGTGTAGGATGACTTATGTCGTGATGTTGGCAATTAGATGAAAAATACAAATATTTGAAGCAAAACCTGTGAAGTCATAGTTTAAAAATTATATAAGCATAATTCAGTCTTCAAAATACACTTGAAGGGACCTTTTTAATTTTATAGAGTGGCTTATTGGATTTAAAACAGGTTTTTATAAATCTTTGACGGATCAAGGATGACGGAGTTATTCTTATTTTATCGCTTGTATTTTATGTCTTCAGTCCATGAAATCATTGAATTAACTCTTATAGAATAAAAATAAACATATTCAAACCTTTCTAGATATGACTGGAAGGGTGCCCAGGTCCCACCTCCTCTAACACAACAGGAAGAAGAGGAAAAGGAACGGAAACAGAGCGAGAAGAAGAAAGCAAAACGATTAGAGAAAAAGGAGAAGGATAAACTAGTAAAAGAAGAGGACAGACTGAAAAAAGAACAAGAGAAGGTATGAGTTCTTGTACCTTGTTACCTTTATAAAAAAGGTTTTGGTTTCCCTCTATTTGAAGAGGGGTATGTCCGATTCACAACCATACCCGTTAAACTTTTGACTGAAGAATGTCTCTTTTTAATATACAAAAACGTGTGTAATTGATGAACACTCTGTTGCAAGTTGTTATATATTTAAAGGGACTGTAAAGGAAAAATGAAAGGGTGTATAGGCTGAAAGCTGATCACTTTAGCTCTTGATTGCGACCCATGAAACATCCATCTGAAGTTCCTGTTTTGAAAAATTGATGTAAAACTGTGTCAATTTTATACGAAAATTCATATATATTCAATTTTGTATAGAAATGGTAGGTATAAACAGATCATATTCAACAAATACGCAACCAATCTGAAATCAAAGATATTCCAGAGAAAGCTAAATGTTACGTAGGTTTTCTCCAATTATTATTTTATAATTTTATTTTTTTTTATGCACTCTCATTGGATGGAGTTCTTGTGACGTAATACGGACTTATAAATATTCATATAAGGAAAGATACTAGAATTGAGTGTTTGGAAAAGAAAGATACTTGAATTTACTGTTTATGCAAAGAGATACTTGAATTCAATGTTAAGGAAAAGAAAAGATACTTAATTGTAATGTCTAGGAAAAAGGAGAGATACTTTAATTTAATGTTTAGAAAAAGGAAAAAAAATTGACTTTAATGTTTGTTAAAGGAAAGATACTTGAAGTAAATTTTTAGGGAAAGTAAAGTTACTTCAAGTCAATGTTTAGGAAAAGGAAAGATACTTGAAGTCAATGTTTAGGAAAAGGAAAGATACTTAAATGTAATGTCTAGGAAAAAGGAAAGAAACTTTAATTTAATGTTTAGAAAAAGTAAAAAAAAAATTGACTTTAATGTTTGTTAAAGGAAAGATACTTGAAGTAAATTTTTAGGAAAAGTAAAGTTACTTCAAGTCAATGTTTAGGAAAAGGAAAGATATTTGAAGTCACTGTTTAGGAAAAGGAAAGATACTTAAATGTAATGTCTAGGAAAAAGGAAAGATACTTTAATTTAATGTTTAGAAAAAGGAAAAAAAATTGACTTTAATGTTTGTTAAAGGAAAGATACTTGAAGTAAATTTTTAGGAAAAGTAAAGTTACTTCAAGTCAATGTTTAGGAAAAGGAAAGATATTTGAAGTCAATGTTTAGGAAAAGGAAAGATACTTAAATGTAATGTCTAGGAAAAAGGAAAGATACTTTAATTTAATGTTTAGAAAAAGGAAAAAAAATTGACTTTAATGTTTGTTAAAGGAAAGATACTTGAAGTAAATTTTTAGGAAAAGTAAAGTTACTTCAAGTCAATGTTTAGGAAAAGGAAAGATATTTGAAGTCAATGTCTAGGAAAAGGAAAGAAACTTCAAGTCAATGTTTAGGAAAAGGAAAGATACTTGAAGTCAATGTTTAGGAAAAGGAAAGATACTTGAAGTTAATGTTTAGGAAAAGGAAAGATACTTAAAGTCAATGTTTAGGAAAAGGAAAGATACTTGAACTTATCCGACAGAGAAAAGAGAGCTTTAGCCGCAGAAAGACGACTGTTAGCTTCTTCCAGGTATTGTATCTACAAATTCATGCTTACCCGCTTCACATTTATGTAAAGTATTGATAAGAAATGTAAGTTGCGAGAGGATAGCAATGAACCTCACAGACATGCCGTACAACATCCGCTATGCAGGGTAAACTTGAGTCCATGCAGATTGCAAGAAATGTCAAGGAAAATCCTGAAGTGAAATGAGTTTGTATTGTTGCCATTTTTATTTCAGAGATAGTTTTATTAATAAGTTTTTAAATTAATATTTTTCTTAAGAAATTGTGAGATAGACTATTTTTATCTAAAACTATAAAAAAAAAATTTAAAATTTATGACTTAAATTAATGATTAAAATAGATATTTAACGAAATTTAGTTCAGAATGTTTCTCAAAAAATGAAATATTAAGAATCCGCGAAAAAATCATTTTTCAGATCTTATTCTAAAGCTTCTTTTGTATACTGGAGGCTCGATACTGTATGGTAAATCTGGGAGGCTCATGGCGGCCGTTGAGTCCCTTCCCTCTCTTATGGTTTAAACTTTTACACTTGCTCTAACAAACCATTGTTATAGTGTTGTGCTGCTCAGATGCTTTCAGTGTGGTTTGGATATATCAGGAAAGGTTAGTTTGTTGGAGTATTTATATATATATAAAGTTGTAATCTCTGTGTTTCCCAGTAAAAATCGTCTTAAGTGCGGGTAAACGGCGGGAGTAACTATGCGTAACCTGGGCAACGCTGGGTTCCCAAGCTAGTTTAATTTATATTATTTATTATAAAATTNCCCTCCATTGTCCCGAATATAAAGAAAAAATAGGTCAAAACTTTGTACCAAATAATTTTTTGATTTTTTTTCTAGATACAATTTATATTTTAATCGTATAGGAGATTTTATTTCTGTTTGAATACTTTGTATTCGTTCAATCAATCTTGAAAATAAAATGTAAAGGAAAATATTATTGTATTGTAATTTGTATTTCCTGAGGTTGGTGATCATTGCTTGATCTCAATCTTTTGTTTTTAATTTATCTTAATTCGATATCCCAAGAGTGTCGTCTGTGAAGCAAATCAGAAGATAATGAATTTTGTGTTCAACTAATAAGAGAATAGACAAATTACGGATTCTGCGTAAAATTTTAAAGTGGATATCAAGACCAAGTGATCGATCAACAAAAAAGTTCCCAGTTCTAATGATTGATTTTACATCAATAAAAGAGAAGTCTGTTTACACTTTTAATTTTTGTTTCAGGTTCCGTTTTGTTATTCAGACAACAGCTTCTGTTCTCCAGCCTGCGTTAAGAAACATCGCGAAAATAACAAATAACAGGGGGGTATTCAGGAATTTGTCTAGGGGGGGTTGCATTTTTTTACTGTATTGTTCTGAGCCCCCATAGACCCCCCCTGTATACGCCTCTGTATCTCATATTTTTCTTAACTGCTTCAGAAAACTTTTGAGAAAACCATGAAAGAAAATTTTATTTAAAATCAATTGCTGAGCTCTTTCCACTGAGAGGCCATTATTGGCTTTACACTAAAAAGCAAATTTCTAAACTATTTAAATAATATATTTTATGATATAACATGTTAACAATGAAAAAAGGATCAAAAAATAAATAACAATTTTCTTTTGTTTTAATTTTTTTCTTAGAAGGATTGTTTTGTTTTTGAAAAAAAAACTATCACTTGTGAAAACAAACCTCTCGTTTTGAACTTTCAAAACATGAAAAAAATTTTTTTTTTTTGAAAACTACCATTTTTAAAAAACAAAAGTTTTCCTTAAAAGTGGAAAGGATCCATTCCTAGTAATATGATGTCATTGATTCTTTTACAACGAATCCAAAATTTAAAAAATAGGAATAAATTATATCAATTATCAATAAAATATTTCTTAAATAAGGAAAAGCTTAACTTTGAGCACATGGCAGTGGCATATATATTGTTGGGATCTGGTTTAGGAATCTCTTCATTAGGAATAATGGATTTATTTATTTATTGTTTGGCCAATTATATATATTTTTATACTTTTAATAGTGTAAAGTTTTGTAAAGATTTTATATGGAATATTTTTCTAATCCATTATTTTATTTCAGTGTTTTGTTGGGAATTATTTTTCTACAAAAAAAGATGTGATAAAGTATTATTAAAAGATAAAAAATAAATATTAAAATTCAACCAATCTTTTGAAGAAGAGCTGAACCTGCATTAAGTTTGTGCTTTGTATCTATGAATATATTTTTGCTTGCCTGTCTGTCTTTTTGTATCCAAAAAATGTCAAATGGTCTGAACCGATCAGCGTTTGGTTCCTTCAGTTTTAATTTAAAAAGCGCTTTGGTTTATTTCTCAACAATCCTTAAACAAAAATAAAACAGAGAAGATATAAAATTTATTTTTAAAGCTCAAATTGAGATCGAAAGTCACAGCTTGCTGGGAAGGGCTGAAATGTAAAATCCGAATGTAGCATTATTACTAGTAAAATATATAAATGTCGGAATAAAAATAATTACTTGTTAGGATAGTCAGGCTAGGGTCTGACTGACCTGAATTTGGTGCAAGAGTAACTGTATTGTTTTATTATGCATCCATTTTACCAAACCGTCTACAATGCAACCTTAAAGGACCTCCTGCAACAAACAAATTTGCCACTAAGTCAGTCCATTTGCCACCACATCCAACAAATGAGAACTAGTTCAAAATGTAAGGCTGGGAGTCTTCTATTTTAATTAAGTTTCAAAATGTATCTTGAAAATACGATTATTAAATTGTATACTATTTAACACCATCAGATGTTTATAAGAAAAATAAAGTTGTTTGTTTATTTATGTCATTTTTTTTGTTGACAATAATGAACGATAATTCATATTTTGCAGAATGCAGAAGTCAGATGGGTAAAAATTATTTTAAAAATTCGAATAAAAAAAATAACATCCCCACTCCGGACTCCCTAATTTGTTTCTTATGTAAAAGTAAGGTTTATAAAATTCTAATTGAACTTAAGTTAATTAGAAAAAAAAACACAGCGGTGATAAGGTTATAACTAACACCTACTAAAGCTTGTTTTAATGACCAAATTTCTAATTTTTGAATATTCCACAAATTTTCAAAATGAAAGGAACTAACAGAAGGAGAAGGTAAAATGTATGCAACATTACTAGACAGACTTTGTGCCCTGCTAGTTCCTATGAATTTTATTTATTGCACAAGTTTAAGAAAAACTTATTATCCAGTAACAGATTAGAAATTCAATTTTTTTATTCTCTTAAATAGCTTTGCAAAAGAATAGTAATAATTTGAAACATTTGCAATCTACGTTGTTTAAAAAAAATAAAACTGGAAAATACACATCCTTATGTTATTGCACTTTACATGCTTTTCAAGATTTTAAATATACAAAAATCATAAATTTAAAAGGTAGAATACAGTTCTTATAATTTTAATGTTTTTGTTTTTGTTTTTGTGTTTGTAAGATCCAATAGTTGTTTGTATACATTTAACAACCAGTTTCAGAAAAATTCAAGAATTCTGTTGTGTTTATTTCATGGTTCTCAATAAGTTGTTAGGACAATTCCATAACCAATTTGATTAAAATTGTGATTTGGTTCTAAATAGTGATATTCTCTGATTTTTTTACATATTCTGGTTGTTTATTTACTGTTTGTTTATAACTTTAAACTGGTTTAGTCACAATACCCGGTTAGAGAGATTAATCAAATATTTACACATGTTAAATTGATTAAATTCCTTATTCAGATTATTAATTTTGAAATCTCTCATTTTAAATTTATTTAGTTTTGAAACCCTCAATGCTGTTCTCAAGTTGTTTTCTGCACGAGATTATACCTAACCATGCTTGTGCTTATTAATAAAGATTAATATTACTCAAACCTTGTCTTTTAATAGTCGAGATTTAATAGCAAATCTCCAAAATTGCCCAACAGGGTCCCATAGAAAAGTGGTTTTAATTGTAAATTTTATTTTAGAAGCAAAATGCTAGCGTTACTACCCTAAATCACTCTTTGTCCTGGCATTTCCAAAAAAAATGTGTTCTGCCTTTTTTGTGCTTTCAATTAGAATTATCAGAGATTTTTGTTCAGATTTTGACAATTTTGGTATAATTTAACCCTATTCAGGCTGACGTCTGGTTTAATCAAAATAGACACTCTATATCCATAGTGTATTACAAATCTATAACGTTTGATACACTTTTTAAAAGCCCTTGTATTCTACTTTAATAATCAGCTAAAAAAAAATTAGCAAATTTGCTAAATTTCTAATATCTATTGCAATATCAAATTAATTAGCAAAAAATGTGCGAAAACAAAAAATTTGCGAAACATGATAAATTATGCATTTTTAAAGAAGTCCTTGACACTTCAAATTTGAGTATGCAAATAATGAGGAAAACATAAAATGTGTAAATTCTCTTGCAAGGCATCTGTCCAAAATTATGTGCAAAATGTCTTTGCAAAAATTGTTTAATCTGCTCCCTTTTGCACAAGGCTTTCCTAAGAGCAATAGCATGTTAAAATCCAATGACTTGAAGAAGGTTTCTGTTTCAGAGATTGTTTTTTGTTTTTATGTTTGGATCATATCTCAGGAACACTTTTGCCAATTTTATTTGAAGAATTCATTAGAACCACAGGAGTGATGGATGAGTTGGTTGACTTTTATAAATAACATGTCAAGAAAACTAAGTTTTTGTTAAAAAAAATGAAAACCATTATATTTTTTAAAATTGCTTTTGATAACGATGTGTTTATGTGGGAAACCTATAGCTGAGTTCACCACGTCACAAACTATAAAACTATTTTATAATTGCTTCTAAGGGGACCCTGGTCAACATAAATGTTTCATATTCCTAAAACTTGTATTCCTAAAATTAATCAGTTTGAGACAGGAAATTGTTTTTTACCAAGTATTTGACTAATTTTCAAATTCCCAATAAGACGAATAACGTTCTCAGAGTGTTAGTTAACATTCCTTTAAGGACGTTAATTAACGCCACTATTTTACGTGCCAGAAACGTAAAAACTAACCCACTTTTATGTTACATAACTTTATTATGTTACGTTACATAACCTTATTATGTTACGTTATTTAATGTTACATTTAAAGTTAAATAACGTAAATTAATGTTATATAATACATTTTTAAAGGTATCAGCTTTCACAAAAGTTCCGTTGATTAAAGTTATTTTACGTAGCAACAAATGTATGGTACGTACATACGTTCATGAACGAAACTTTTACGTCAATGAACCCTAAATATGGAAGCAGCTTTCACAAAAGTTAGGTTGAGTGATGTTATTAACGTAATAATGACCGTATGTTTACAAGAAACCAAAATTTAATTTCTATCAATCCAAAATATATGCTCATTTTTCACCAAAGTTATGTTGAATAATATTATTTGACGTACCAAAGATCAAAACCAAACACTAAGTACTTACCTAATGTTCTGATGATAACAAATATGTTCTTACCTTTTGTTTTGTAGAGAGCACTATTGTTCTGTAGGAAACAGTTTGTACTAAACTTTTGTGATTTAAAAAATACTTTGTACTTGCCCAATTGTTCCATAGAAAACACAATGTTGAGAACACATTAGTATTATTTTTTATTTAGTTGCATATTTGCTTATCATCATATTCAGAGAATACTGTATAAAAGATAATATGCTCAGTTAATGAGGAAAAGGATAAAGATATACCAAAAAATAAAACATTAAATATAAAAATCACTGTACTTATACTAAACATATTTAACATCATATTCAAATTCAGTGATATTTAGGGCTAATTATTTCTGCTTAATTTCTGCATCTAGCTTTCATGGATTAACTTGTTTGATTATCACATGTGACATTTGTTTGAAACTTTAGCAAACAAATGACTCATAAGATAAAAAAGATTCAATAATCAATCCATGTGCTCCAGTCCGACAAATTAAACTATTTACATAAAATGGTGCACAGAAAACATATTTTAAAATGTAAAAAGAAATTTATATGAATAGTTTGGCATTGGATTAAGTCGCAAAATTTGCAAAAAAAAAAAGATATTTTGTAAATAAACGTTCATTAGCGTTCCACAATTATGTTTAAAATAATGGTATCTGACCTTCCTGGAAAATCTTTAAACACCAGGCAGGCAGAACATTTTAAGAAATAAAATATTTGCATTTTAATTAAATCAAAACCACCTTCCATCCTTCTTTACCAAACGAGGAACTAAAAGAGAACAAAACAACTTTACAATTTTCGTAGTGTTACGTCATTAACAAATAGAAATGATTGATTTTCAAAAATGAAAATGAACCAAAATATCTAGGTATTACCAAATAAAATAAAGATAAAAAAGATAAAAATATTACACCTTTAACAAAGTGTAGAAGATATTCAAAATTTAAAATAATATATATAACCTGAATTGACTACTGAACACTGAACAGTATCAAAATTAAATAAAAAGCAAAGGATTTTCTTTATCCCAAAAATGTTCAAAAATTATTTATATTTGTATAAACCAAAAATCAGTTTAGATTAAATATTAATTATTTAGAGATTCAATGATCACATAATGTTCAATGTAGAATAAATGGGATACTATATAAGTGGGATACTATATGAAGAAATTAGAAAGGTTGCATCTTTATCTTAAAATATGCTTTATGAAGAGACTAATATAAGACTAAAATATTTGAAACGAATTAACCAAAAGTATATTTTTTATCAAATACAAGAAGAGTTTAAAAACAGACTATCTATTAGGGTTTCCAACAAACAAAATTTTTTTCAAAAAATGTGAAAATTTTCGATCGCATTTTGCAAACTTAATTGCAAAATTTCGACAAAGAAATTCGCGAAAATGCAAAAATTTCCCAAAAATTTTGCGAATATGCGAAAATATTTTGCAGTTGTTTTTTAAAATTCTCTATTTTTCGCGAAATTGTTGTGTTTTTTGCATAATTTCCATTTTTTTTTGCAAGATTTTGCATTTTTTCGAAAAAATTTTGCATTTATTTTGGTGTCAATTTCACATTTTTCGCGAGCAAAAGTAAAGCAAAAATGAATCAAAAAGGTTGCAAAAAAAATTTTTTGCGAAAAGATTTTTCCTTTTCGCTGGAAACTCTACTATCCCTACTATTAAACACAAACTGATTCACATCGTACATTTTTTCCATCATTTTTTGGTAACTTTTTGCAGTCGGAAGCTTTCTTGCATTTTGGATGACAGTAATCTCTTAATAGGACCCATTTGTTTTTATTGCAAAGCTTTTTTTGAAATTTTTTTTCATTAGGTGGAAGCTTGCCATTTATATGGGTTTTTTCATTTCTAAATACATCCGTATCATACATACATATTTTTTGGCAGTTTTGACATTTTTTACTCTTGGAACATTTGCCCAAACACAAAAAAGGAACTGTGAAAGATTCAGTTTTAGCATTGCATTGGTCTTTGGTTCTCAAATCTAAATCTGCGTCGTAATCAAGATATCCATAGTCATTTCCAGATTCAACCGATGGAAGAGACAAGTCAATGGTTCCATTATTTTTTTCAGATACTTTCTCTGGTTCAAGTGTTGTTATCTCTTCTTCCTCTTCTCTTGGTTTAGTTGTTTTACATTTACATTCTCTAACACTTTTCTTCCTGGTTTTCAGAGGTTCAAGCAAGTCAATAAGTTTCTGGATACCTATGGATGATTTTAAATTTTATCTCACTGATTTTTTTTAAAATTTTTAATTTTCAGTTTTGGGCTGTGAATGATATCCCACACTATACATAAACCCTTAAACCCTCATTTCTAGTAAGTATCTATCTACAGTACTTTCATAATATTGTGAGAAAAAAATTACCATTGCTCGGTATTTCAGGGATCACATCAACTTCTTCACTACCATAGTCTGCTTCTTTGATATCTTCCCAACTTGACCCCACCTCACCCCTATATGGATTCAGGTTTTGAAAGCCTGGGAGCTTTAAACTGTACAGAAAAATTCAGAAGAAAAGCCAGACATCGAATTTAAAGAATTTGAGCTAGGTCTGGACCTGACTTAACTGCCCAAATTTTAAGAATTTGAGCTAGGTCTAGACCTGACTCAACTGCCTAAATATAAGGAATTTGAGCTAGGTCTAGACATGATTTAACTGCCTAAATTTAAAGAATTTGAGCTGTGTTGCTGAACTACCTACAGCCGGTTTAAATTCAAATCCTTCCTTGATCTTTAACTTTGCATCAGTGGTTCAAATTTGAACAGATAATTTCAGTGACTGTAACCCTTGTAATTAGTTTAATATATATAGCAAATGTAATGTCATAATGTAACGTAAAATAAAAAAATCTAAAATAATATTATATTACCATTCTGAAGACTCATTTTCTTGATTCTTTTTGGCAGCAGAGCTAGCAATTAGCTGAAAAAGTATATTTCAGAATAACACACTTATTTATTTTAAGTATTTTTTTCCAGGAACTAGTCACTATAACTACATGCAGCTATGTTGCTTTTTCTTATTATTATCTAAATATACAAGAATTCTAGGGTATTTAGTATTTTTTTAATTCTGCTGTTTTCCTATTGTACATTAAATATACAAGGATTTTATGGCGCTTTGCGTCTATTTTCTACTTTAACATTTAGTTCTGGCTCTATCTGCATGAGCGTAAACAGTGGGAGGGACAAGGGGGAATAGTGCCCCCCCTCCCTTAGAGCTGTAAGGGGAGCTATCACACTTTTCAACTCTGTTAGTTTTAAAGGAGAGAAAGAGCAGTACTTGTAAGATATTTCGACTGTTTGTGTACCTGTAAAGCCAAAAATTTGTTAATAAATCAATTCTAGAATCAATTATTTCGTTTTCAGTATAAATATTGAACTTCTTATTTTCCATGAATTTATTTGCAGATTTCTACAAATTCTTCAAATGTCGTCTTTTCAATAATAATTCCAGAAAATCTTTGTGAATAATGAGAAACTAGAATAATGAGTAAATAGAAACTAATTATTGAACAAGATTACTTATTTTCGATGATAAGATAAATTTTTATTTTCTGAACCTGTTCCTAAATAACTAATTAGTTTAAAGTAGAATTTTTTTTAACATTTTTTTGTCGTCCTTATTTAATAGTTAAGATGAAAACAATTCTGAAAACATATCCACCCAAAAGTACGAATTTAAACGTCGACTATGCTCTCAAACTCAGGATTTACAGATCTTTAAAAATTTTAATATGTCTCAAATGAATCCTAACAAGTTACTACTCAGTTTAACTATAACCTTACAAAGCCAGTTTGTACCTTCAAATATTCATCAGTCATATGTGAGGTCCCGATCAGTGTATGCCGTTTATTCGATACAAGTGGACAGACTAGCATACAAACAAACAGACACCCAGACAAGCAAAGTATATATATAGATAGAATAAGGAGAGAATGAAATCCTAACCCCAAGTTTCCAACCTAAACATTCTTACTTTTGTATGAGTATATTTATTTGCTCTATAGTGACACAGGTGCATTGGAAAATAAATAATAATATAAAATTTCATTTTTAAAAACTTGGAATAGCTTTCAGAATTAATTAAATCATTAGTTTTTAATGTTTAAATCACTAATTGGGTTATAACTACGGCTTTTAGTTGTTTAATACATTGGGATACAGATGTTTCATAGAGGGATACTGAAAGGATACAGTGGTTAAATAGAGAGGGAACCAGGAGGGATACAGTGGTTTAATACAGGGGATAAATATGGAACATCTTAAAATATCAAATGATTAGAAATCTTGTAACTGCAGAAAAGAAAAGGTTCTTCAAAATGTTTTATTACAATTTTCTTTTTCAAAATTTGGATGTTAATAGGAGGGGTTGGTGGCGGCTCTGCACCCCCACCCTCATTTGAACATCAAGCAATATTTATTAGATCTATTTATATGTTTACAGTGAATTAAGTGCAATTGATAAAAAATTTAATTGATTAATATAATAATTAATTGTTTAATAGATTAATTCAAAGAATTATAATGAAAAGATAGATAGTACTGCAAATTAAATATTCTGGTCATAGGAAACTAAAATTAAATGCTTTTATCCTCCTCTGCTACTAGAGGAACACTGATGCATCTATTCTTATTTGCAAACACTGCCCAGAGAGAACTGGTTTCAATATGTACGCAGGTTATATGCAACAGCAATTAACTTTCCTTGCCTAATTACCTTGGATTAATTAATGTAAATGGTAAAAGGTTCTAGACTTATAAGAGGCTCCTAAAAGATGTTTAACATATTCAAAAATAGTGCATCCTCCATCTTGGCTTCAAGTCCTCCTGATGATGTAAGGTACTTTCCCAAAGATTTCCCAAGTGACAATATCCTAAATGGGAACTTCCCAAATGTGCATTTTCCCAAAGGGCAATTTCCCAAAGGTTAGGTTAGGCCTTTGAAGCGACCCAGGCTGCAATGGGCTAGGGAGCAGAGCGCTGTGGCTAGGATGAGCTAGGGGGCCAAGCACTGCAGCTAGAACAGGCTGGGAATCATGTGCTGCGGTTAGAACAGACTTTGGAAGTCCCAGCTTGGTAAATTGCACAATTAGGAAATTGCCACTTGGAAAAACACTGTTGGGAAGTTGCTGCTTGTGATAAAGCCTTTGGGAAAGTACCTATCATATCATCCTCCTGACACTGAGGATCTAAATATCTCGTTGTCACTCTCTGATTCCAGAGGTTCCATAGGTCCATATGTCATCTGATTGAACATAAAGTCCTTTAGCTTATGTATACAGGAGAAGAACTCGGACTAGGATGACGCTTGCGAGAGGGAGTAGGGACAGGGCTTCCAATCCCATTTTCTCCTGAAGTCTTCAGAGATATGAGGGGAGATGTAGAGATTGAGGAGGATTGAGGAGAAGGAAGGAAGAGCTTAGAAGGTAAAGGTTGGAGTAAAGAACTCAGTTTTGGGTTTTATCCAGATGGCTTGGTGAACTGTTAGACAGAATCTTGGAATTAGCTACACTTAGTGCATGGTTTATGGCAATGTTGTAAGGAGGAAAGTTTATTTAAAAGTTCTTCTTGTTATTGGGACTCAAGTGATTACATAAGAAAATTCATTAAGGATTAAAATACATATTTTTGTATGTAATGTTGTCAATTTTACAGCCACCTTTAAAATAACAATTTTATTTATTCATATTAAGTGTGTTAATTTAGTTAGGTTATTAGATATTTCAAACAATGAATTCTGTTGATCAAATAATCTATGTTTGAAATATCAACTGTGGCAAATTATCATGCCATTGGACATAATAAAAAAAAACTTTGAAATCCACATTACTTTCTTAATACTTGTCTCCTTAAGTGAACTTTGGTATCTAAAGAGAGATCTTATAGTTTCACTAACAATTATGTTCTTATTAATATTAGCTCAAGACCTTAAGAAACTTGCCAAATACTGATCAGTAGATTTTCGAGCTTGGACGATCAAGCTAAATTTTGAAATTAGCATTTTTACAACCAAACAACAAGCATCGATATAGCTTCGGTTTTTCAGGAGACTTTTGTTAAACCAAAACATGCTTCAGAGTCTAAAACTAAAGAATGTGCGAACTTTAAGTTTGAGGTTAAAAGTTCTGTAAAATAATGAATAGCTACTTAAATATTAAACCTTCTCAATTTTAAATTTGAATTTCCCGGGAAAAATCTGAACCAATCAGAGAAAAGAATTTATGGAGAATATTACGTAACCATCGCTATTCAGCTGTTTTAGTTAACTTTAAAATATTTCCAGTTACAACCGTATTTTGGTGTTACGTGCAAATATTAATTAATCTAAAACGTGAAATTTGTTAAATCAAGGTTTTTACTTTTAAATATATCGTAATTAGTTGAATGCCGCTTATTGCTGAATGATGATAGACAAATAGGGATTGCGGGATTTCAAGATTTTAACCTTGTGTTTAAATTTTAACTCGTCGATTTCGGCGAGTTAAATATTTAACCACAGGTTTAAATATTTAACCACACGGTTAAAGTTCAGGTTTAAATTAAGTCAGAAGTAGCATTTAACCATGAACTTAAAATTTAAGTCAAAACTTTTTGTTCTTTAGTTTTGGACTCTGGACAGGTTAATTTTGCAAAGAAAGAAATCAAAATTGAACTGATTTAAAGAGAATTCGATTGGGATATATTTATTATTTACTCTCTAGGGTTCAAGCATTATCTTTTTGTTAGACATGAAAATTATGAAAATTAAAAATGATTTTCTTTTTCTGATAAGAATGATGATCCGCTCCATTTCCATATTTCAAATTCCTAAATGAACAATTCCAACTCCAATACCCAGTAAAATAAAAGGAGCAGCCACATGTTCAAAATTTAACTTTTCCTAAAAATACAATAATTTCTTAGTATAGCCCCCCCCCCCTCCCACTCCAATAAATATTATTTTTATGACATTTTGACAAAAATATCACAATTTTATTTTAGTTTAGAATTTTAGAAATCATTTATCAATAGTTTTTTCTTTTGCTTAAAAGTATGAGTAATGCTTGCTCTGAAGGTACATGTGTTCCAGCCTGTCATTTGCCAAATGATTAAGTTGAAATATGAAAAATATAGAAATATTAAAATATTAAATTATGTGAAAAATTAGTTTTTTCATATCCATGTTTTCTCCTTGGCTAAAATTATGATTGATTCTTGGTGTGTAGGTACATGTGTTCCGGCCTGTCATTTGTTAAATAATTAAGTTGAAATTTGAAAAATATAGAAATATGAAAATATATAGAATATAAGCCAAAAATATGAAAAATATGAAAAATATGAGAACATGAAAATATGAAAAATATAAAAAAATATGAAAAAGATGAAAAAAAAGATAGTATGAAAAATATTTTTTTTTTAAAATTTTATTGCTATTGTTTAGCAAATGAAAATGAAAATTAAAATTTATAAGAATAAATGTATTGACATTGAATTGCGTCAAAAATTGCATAACATTATTTTTCTTAATTTATCAGAAATGAAATTATTCTGGATGCACCTAACTTTTATTTTAATTTGTTTGCTGACGAGTTTTAACAATGAGAGATAACACAATAAATAAAGAGGAACACCTGCAAAATTGTCCAGTTTAAATAAAATGGCGCTTTATCTATTAATGATTTATTCTTCTTTTCTTGTTGGAGTTAATGGAGGTTGGTGTGATAACAAGAACACTGCTGGACAAGATCTTGTTTCTGCATATAGTCGGTAAATTATTTAAAGGGACTGTAGACGGAATTTCACGTGACCCTTTATGCGAATAGTTCTATGCCAAATTCATGACTGTCTCCTTTAAACTTTTAAACGGTCAATAATATATGGAAGATTTATATATTTATATAGCTGGTGCCAAAATCCGCTAGAAATCACAATTAAAAAACAATCTATACAAGGATTTCATTTTAGATGAGACAAGCTTATATGGGTACTGTTGTGAATCGTCATCCTATAAATAAAAGAAGTCACTTGAAATTACATCTACAGTTCCTTGGATTAAGATACAATTCCAACAGAAACTTTATAGAAAAAGAAAAATTAAGCATTTAAATATAAATTGATAAAAATCTCGCTGTCAGGTTACCATTGAGTAGAAGAGGAATGAAGCATCAGTCTGATATCAAGCACAATCTTCCAGTGGTATGACAGTGGTTCCCAAAAAACTATGGAATACAATGACGACTTTTAATGTTAATGATATGATTTAAACAGTAACTTAAAGATTGCTCTTATATCGCTCTTATATCATTCCATAGTTATATCAAGCTGTATAAGATAATTTACGAGGCAAGACTTACAATCCCATTTTGTTTCGATAAAGTATATTTTAGTTGTGTCCATAGGAAATTTGTTTAGGTTTATGGCATTGTTCAACACTTTAGGACTGTAAAACTTTCTTATATGTTATAATATGCAATGTTTATCAGCACTGCTTCATGCTATTAATGGTCGAGAAAAACTGTAAACAGGATCTGCGTACACTGGAGACATACGGATGCCTCAATACACAATTGTTCGATGTACTGTATGTCACCATTCGATCTTTACCTAAACCCCAGATTCCCTTTGAACCCTGATCTGTTTCTTTATTGCAAAGACGATGGATTACATCCCTTGTTTCAATCCCATCATGCTCATGACAAAATAATGATTATTTCAACATAAATCAAAACCTCTAATTCAGCTATTATTTATGTGGTTTTCAAAAAGCCCTTTCTTAAGATTAAGAATAAAAAACATAATGTCAAATTTTAGTTGATAAACTAGACAGAAAGATAAGGTAAAATTTGTGCGACATTTTTTGCAAAAAAAAGGTTCATTTAGAAGAAAAAGATGGACAACTGAAATGGATAATTCAGACAAATGAGAAAATTATCGTTTTTTCAGAGAAACATAAAAAGAATGATTTTTTTACCAAATGAACAATTTTAATGAACAAACTATCTTGATGAGCAAACGAATTTTCTAAACAAAAATGAACGATATTGAATTTTTTTTTGATCAGTTGAAGAAAAAAACTTACAAAATCGGTTATTTACAAACAATGAACAAATGAAATGAAAAAATTTAATGTGCCCGTCTCCAATTTCCAGTACAACTTCTGGTTTTGATTTTATGCACAAGTTTGAAAATAGCAAATTTATCCGTAAAAATATATTCACAACAATTTGTTCTTCTCACATAAGCACTTCAATAACTGATTTTATGATAGAAACACATTAGGTTTTAATCTTAAGTACAATTTTACTTGGGATTATCGTGATGACGCTTTATGTGCTTGAAAAATTATTGAAAGAAAATAAAGATGAATTTAGGAAGAAATGATAAAATCTGAAGGATATCCTGTAGAGACCTATTATGTGACAACCCAGGATGGTTATGTCTTGGCACTTCATAGGATCCCTTATGGAAAAACAAACAAGTAAGGCTCATCACTTTAAGGGACTGTAAGCGTAATTTCAAGTGACCTTCCATTTAAAGAGTGGCATGTCTGATTTACAATGATACCCTATAAACCTCTGTTTGATCAAGGATTTCGTAGATACTTATTTAAAAGCAGGAAATTGAGTGCCAAGAAACCGGGCGAGTGTACACCAGCACGGAGTGTACACTGTAACCTCGAGTCTCCTGCGGCCATAGAGAATATAATAGATATTAGAGTGGAATTTACTAGAAAAAAGTGTAAAACGTCCATTTTGTTGTACTGTTTCCATACTGCAGGTGTACTTCACATATTTATGCTCTTTAACCTTTTGGGCCCTGGAATATCATTTTATAGAAAAACTAAAATTAATGTTGAAAGAAAACCAAATTATGAAATTGGCTGGTTTCATAATTGACCAATGATCATTTCACATAGACTCTATGGCTTTCACTTTACAAACGATGATTTTATATAACTATAATTATAGTTATAACTATAAATCAAATGATGATTTTTATTCACCTAATTCATTATAAAGTTTATTTAACAGCTTTAAAAATTTCAAAATTGAAATGAATAGTCTAGGGAACATACTGTATTAATGTACTCTACTGCACATAATTTGTGAACATTTACATGATTTGTACACTTTGAACTCCCTTTCAGGCTGAAAGGGACTGAAAAAATTCATACCGAGAGATTCTTTAAATTCCTCTCTAATATATATTCTATTCTCTTTGCCTGCGGCGCTCAATCTTCAGTTATACAAATGAAGGTATCTACCTCGTCATTGTCCGGAAAAATTTTGAAGGTTACTGTTGTGAATCGGACATGCCTCTTTATAAATGGAAGGCCACTTGAAAATATTTAGTAAAGATGTGAAATTTAAAGTTTTTCAATCAAAATTAAACTAGAGAATTACCATGATAACTTGCACATTCATAAATCCACTTTTTAGCCAAGTATATTTCCTTTTTTCTGACTGGATTTTACTTTAAATATTATATGTTTGTTAACTTATACCTTTTAATAAGTACTAGCTATGGCCCACTTGCCAGGTTCAAATAATGTTTTTAGCTGTATATTATTACTTTTCCTGCGAACATTTTTACTTTGTTTTGTGAAGAAAAAAAACTTAGAAGTTTTAACCAATAAATCTCCTTCTGACTGGCCATATGATGCTACTGATGCACTAGGTTAATAGGATAAAAAATAATTTTCTATACTGCAGTAACCCAACTGGGAGAGAAGCTGTGTTGGTCCAGCATGGATTACTTTGTTCTTCAGCTGATTGGGTGATGTCAACTCCAGAGAAAGGGTTAGGTAAATAACTTTAATTATAACATCGTTTTAACAATTTATCATTATTTTATTGATGAATTTCTTATAAATTGGTCACAGGTATTTAGGACCATGGGCAAAGTTCCGTTGTAAACAAAAGCGAAAAATATTTGTTTTAAAAAAATAATGACTTCCTTTTTTCTGCTAAAAATTGCATAAAACTTAAAAAATAAAATGTCCGCTTTTAACGCTGTTATTAATTTTGAGATTGTAAAGGATTAATGGTAACTTTTTAGTATGATGGAAAATACTGTTAACTAAACGAACATTCCATCGTTAACTAAAATTGAATGGCTTCCTAAAAAAATTACATTTTTAACTAAAAATTAACAAACAACTTGAATAATATCAGCAGCCCTACAGAAATGGATGGATCATTTCCACTATATTGAAAATCCATCACTTCGTTTAAAAAACGACAAAGAAAAAACAAAAAAGGAAACAATTGATTTTAACCCAGGGTGGGGGTCATTCCAATGTTTGATGTTCAAATATGACAAATGATACATCATTAGAAAGCTCTTATGCTCTACTTTTCGAATTTCCAAAAACTGATAAATTATGCATTTTTGAAAATCCCTGGACCATGCAGCTTCAAATATGCAAAAGTTTTTGCAAAATTTTAAAGATCCTAACCTACGTCAAAACAAAGATTTAGTTACAGGAAAAAGTAGAAATAGGGTTAAGACAACATTCATTAAGATTAATTGTCATAAAACTTTGACATTTAAAAAAAACTATAGGTTTTTAGATTATTTTAAAAACAATTAATTTACAACCCTACCTACAGGTAATACTAGGGTTTTGAAGAATAAATCCAAAATGTTAGCGAAAAAGTTGCTAAAATTCATCAAAAAAGACTAAATTTTAAGAAAGAGGGATTTAATCTGCCAGCCTAATTGATGGATTAAAACAAAATTAATATATAGAATTAAGAACGACTAATAGACATCAGAAAAATAGCTTCGTTTTCGATTCATTAATTTTTGCAAAAAAACGAGAAATTTTGCCAAATGCAACCGAAAATTTTCGCATTTTATCGCGAAATTTTTCGTTCGCTGGAAATCCTAGTTAATACTGAAATATTCTACTTTTATAATTCTTGCCATAATTTCTCTCCTTCTTCATTTACTTCCTCTTTTATTCACTGTTCTTCTGGTGACTGTGTCTGGTTATGGAAATTTTTGAAGAAAAAAATAGTTTTCTAAAAACTAGTATTTCTGGACACTTTAAGCTCAATAATACTTTTGCTTCTGGTGAGGCATTTTTAAGGTTCCAAATGTGTTTTTGAATTATAACATTTGATTTTTAAAATCTTATTTAGGGCTGGACACATTATTGATTTTCAAAGACTGATTGTTTTTATGTTAATGTATGAAGCCATCAGTTGCATCATTCATTCCAATTAAAAAATGTTAAACCCATTTTTTCAATGAGGGTCTTTAGGTTATCAATTTGTAATTATTTTTTCTTTTCAAAATTGATGATTTTGATTGTTAAACATTTTTATATTTATTTAGCAGTGTTAAATAAATAGTTTTCACTTTCTAGAAATTTTAAGCTAGTAGATTTTCCTTATTTGAAGTGATCCTTCATGCTAAGATGTTTATTTATTTTGAAAACTGTTAATTTTTAATTGTGGTTTTTCTATAATAGTGACAATTTCTACTGCAGGAGCACGTATTTCAAGTATCAGCATTGAACACTTTTAAACCTAAAAAACGACAATATCTTCAACAGTATTGATCAGATAAAGGATTTTGAATTTGAAAGTACACTTAAAGTCCTAATTATGTTGTGATATTTAGGATATATGTTAGCTGAAGCTGGATATGATGTTTGGTTGGGAAACTACCGTGGAAACACCTATAGCAGAAATCATACAACTTTAGATCCTGACAACGGAGAAGGTAGCTCAGTTTGTGTTGTTTCTTAAATAACATTTGTTATATCAATGCATTCGTCGAAAACGACTGTGTTTATTTTTTTTGTTGGCTTTGCTCTAAATCTTCTCTAAGGTGGGGTTTCCATTTTTCTGGAACAAAATTTCCATTTTGTAAATGGAATGATCAAAATTTGTTGTGTAAACCAGAATTCCGGGATAATTCTGGATCAAATGGAAGCCGGAATTTTTATGGTTTACATGATGTTATCCGGAATTTTTTCTGTTTTACGGAATGGAAACCTTAAAATTCCGTAATCCTTCAGATATAAATTACGTAAACGGTAAAATTTGCTTCCATTTCGTAAACTGTAAATTTTTTCAGTTTACTTAACATAAACCTAAAATTTCCAGTTTCCATTTCGTAAACCGAAAATTTTAACACAACATTAGACATAGAAATCATTGTGAAAACATTAAAAGATAAAATTATTAGTTGACATACATTAAATTTGCATTTAGTTCTATAATTATATATTCACAAATAGTTTACAACTTTACAATAGTTCATCATGACTATTTTACAGTTACAGTTTCACAATATTTTTTGACAAATTAGTTTTAATATTTCAAGAGTTCATCCCATAGGCTATGAAACATGTAAGTAAGAGTTTATAAAAACTAGGCTTTAAATTGGTGAATTAAAAACTTATAAATTTTGATATTTTTACCCGTACAAATTTTCAAACTATTTTTAACCTTCCCTTAGGCCATGTGAGTTGCCTCACAAAATTTGGGCTCAGTCGGTTCAGCTGTTTTGACGTTTATTGAATACAAACGGACAAACAAATAGACGATTAAAGAATATAAATAGAGTGTGAACCAGAAAACTCTGGAATAGGAGGACAACTTTTAGACTTTAAATAGTTCAATGAACATGATACACGGCAATTAAGTAGTGTATACTATACTGTATACAGACCAATTTAAAAGTGATTTTTATAAGTTACTATTTAACCTATTTACTGAAGCTAAACAAGGCGCACATTCTATTATAATGTAGATAGTATTTTTATATAGATTTTTCCAGAAACCAGAATTTTCTGGAATGTTCTGTAATTACGGAACAACATTCGGGAAATTTCCAGTTTACAGGAATAAATCATTACGAAATTGCTCCAGAGTTCCGGAACCTTTTCCATAATGGAAATGGAAAAAATTTCTGGATAACTTTGAAAACCCTACTCTAAGGGTAAAAATTTGTCAAATCTGAGGTTTCCAATAAAAATCTGGGGGTCTCCAATGAAAATATGAGGTTCTGCAATGGGAATCTGGGGGTCTCCAACAAAAATATGAGGTCTCCATTGAAAATATGGTGGTCTGTGTGGTAAAAGTTCACCAAATCATGTTTCACCCAATAAAGTTTCACCCAAAACGTTTCATCCAATAATGTTTCACCAATATAATTTTGGTTTCAAAATTATGTTCTCTGCACATGAGGGTGTTTATTGATTTGTTGGAGGTGTAAAATTGTTTGGTTTGGCACGAGAGAAAATCCTGGTCAAAGCTGACCTTGCAGCCGAGTAAGATTATTGTTTTTGGTTAACAACCCTTTCTCTGAGGGAGCAAATGATTGATCTCTAAAACCCAAAGATTTATGTCTATAATTGTAATCCATAGAGTAGCAATAATCATTACAACTTTAGTGTCTGTCAATTGTCAAAACAAAAGAATAGTAGAAAGTAGTATTTTAAAGGAAGTTTCTGGGACTTTACCTGGGATGAAATGGCTAAATATGATATACCTGCAATGATTGAAAAGGTATCATTTAAATTTTAAATTTAAAAAAAGCTGTTTGAACTTACAACTTGAGATCTTTTTCCTAGCGTAATTATCATTGAGATCTTTTTCCCAGCGTAATAATCATTTCCAAGTTAGAATTGATAAAATGATAATCATATATTAAAACTAACATGGCCTGCCATTTTTAGATTCTGTATGAAAAGATAATATATGGATAATTTATAGTTGATATAAGATGTAAACAAGTAACAATTAGGAAAATACAGTGATTTAATAAAAATGTAATTACACTCAAATAGGTGCTGGAAGTATCAGGAAAGAGTGAGTTGCAATATGTTGGACATTCTATGGGAACAACCGGGTTCATGGCCATGCATCACTACAGGACAGATGTTGCTGCTAAGTAATTTCATAAAAAATATTTTGAATAGAAATTTGTATAAAAATAGAATATTTTACTTTCCGTAGAGTTCGCTTGGCCCATCTGCTTTCTCCAGTTGCCTACGTGGGAACAATGGAGAGTCCAATTGCATGGTTAGCAGGACTGGGACCTCTTCTAGATGTAAGTGATTAGCTCAATTTTGATTGAGTAAGAAAGAATTATTTAAAACTTTTTTATTGATTCTTTTCCATCATCTAGCAGAACTTTTTGTAATCCAAGTAAGAATTGGGTATTGTCTTTGTTTTTGAATACAATTTTAGTAAAAGAACAAAAAATTGGTAAATGACGGTGTTAAAGAATTTAAAAATAAAGTTAAATGTGCCCTAGTGATTGGCCATTTTGTTCTATAAGATACAAAAGTTAAATGGAAAATTTTTTTGGGATAGTACTTCTATGAGTAAATTATTTATGTAAGTTAAAATCTACTTTTAGTCAATACTGGGCATGGGCGGTTTCAGGAATTTAGTCAGGGGGGGGTAAAAAAATATTTCGCCCGAAGGGCGAAAAAATTTTTTTACCCCCCCCTATATTGATTTTACCCCCCCCTATATTGACCCCTATATTAACCCCCCCTGTAAAGCTAAAAAGTTCTATTTACCCCCATAACCTTACTAAAATTACAAAATGGACTGCCACCCCCCCCTTGAAACCGCCTATGATACTGGGCTTCTTTGGAATAGGAGAGTTTCTACCGGATAACATTATTATTGACTGTTTGGCTTCTCTTTTCTGTAATGAGGGAATAACTCAGGTTCTATATTTAGAAATGTTTCAGTTTTTTTTTTTTTTTATTTACTTTTATTCATGCAACCAGCTTAAGTGCCCAGTAATGTCATTAAACTTTGTCAGAAAACAGACTCTTGAGTCCAAACTGTAAATCTTAGATAGACACCACCTAATCACTGTTTCCAGCACAGGGAATGGGGGGCTGGGGGCAATAATCCTGAATATATAAACTGGGCCCTGGTGTAGAATTTAAAGGAGGGGGGGGGGGGGTAGTAACCTTTTTTATCTTTGGTACCTCTCTTAATTTGTTATAGGTTTGCCGGCAACAGGTAATCATACACTTGGTTTACAAACCATATGACATTTGTTAAAATCCCCAAGGTTTAAACGACCTGGAGACAAATAGGCACAAATGCTAGTAAGTATATATCTGCAGTTTATACATATTTACACATATATTAAGGGTATTTGCACAAATATACTGTTTGTTCTGTGTGGGTATGATGAACCTCAAATGAACACTACATTACTTCCCACCATTTTACATCACACACCTGCTGGTGCTTCCACATCAACTATACTTCATTATATTCAAGAAGTTAAATCAAGTAAGTAAGATCCAAGAATACAGAAGAAAATTTCTAAAATAAAATTCTAGTGGAGGGGCTTTTTAAGGGGGCACTGTAGTAGGCCTACTACTAATGTATTAAAATACCTCTGAACCACAGCTAAAATGGCAGTTGATTGCAGAGGCGCAACTAGGGGGGGGGGGCGCCGGGCGCGCGCCC